TTCTGTTTGTCCCAGCCAAACAATACCTTATAGGGTAACACCTGACCGAGGGCGCGACGGTCCTCGAGTCAGCCTATATCACTCCTGGGACACAAATGCCCGTCTCAAGGCTGAATAACGTTCAGATCTGTATCTCTTCAGGATATCGAGCACGCAGAGGTCAAAATCCCCCAAGAACGACCCTCATACATGGATGTCGAAGCGTCCCGCCAACCAGTCAACAGCCCGCGCTACGGTGATCGACTACCCCATATAGGTTTGTTTGGCTGGCACAAACAACATTTCGCGAATCGCGGTTTCCGGACTTTTATGCAAAGCACTGTACCTCGATTGTAATTTTCTATATCATGCCACGTTGCGACGCTGATGTCCTTCCTAGACTTTTTTTACTTGATTGAACATCATTCCCGTGACTATGTACATATCTCGCATACATATCCTCGTCCATCACAGTAATGGCAAACTTCAACGCAAGCCAATCCGTCGTATATCAAGATCTGGGAAGGATCTTGGGCCTACCGCAAGCCTCTATTGAGCCTCCGTCACGTTTTGAACAAACACTTACAGGGATCTGATAAACTTTGGGGAGAACGATGCGAAACGATTACAACGCATAATATGTACCACTGGGTACATCACCCATATTGAGCATGCACAAAACTCTGAAAATAACTGGTCAAAGATCAAACTTTTTTCATGATTGTCCATTGCACAGTCAGTGAAACAAATTAGAATAATACTACTTTTGAGTGCACAAAAATCTGATTGTGACACAGGATATGATCTTTATTCAGCACTGTTCATTGAACTTTCATTTGTTTTGCAAGGCAACACTATGAACAAAATTGGACCTTTGTCCGGTTCCTTTCATACTTTGTCAGTGGCTCAATATGGGTATTGTACCCAGTGTACAACATAATGATGTGATGGCAAAAGACAAAAGATCCAGCTGTAAACTTATTGGGCAACCATGATGGAAGACTCGGCGATCTGCAGACCAGCCCAGGGGACACGCGGCCTCACTGGCACCGCGAACCAAAAGTCTGCGTGATCCTGACGCTTCAAACAACACCACGACCCCTGAGGGAGACTATACCGCTCTTCGCCGTCCTTGACGTCCTTCCATCCGATTCCCTCCGCTGCTTCCCACGAGACGAGAGGGCCGTTCCAGCAGATACGGCCTCCAGATCTCACTTTCTTTACGGAATTGGTATCTAACCTCCATCGATATTTCCAGGGGTCCTACTAGCAATCGTGCAATGACAAGAGACAACAAAGCGGATAAATCAAGCGGATAAATTAATAGTTTGTGAAATCATCTCTGGCCGCTCGCATGCATCACAGATGATTGATGAGCCCTAATGGTGCATGAGACTCTGCTCCTCCAACTCAAGCTCCTGCGACTCTTGCGTGAGCTCGCAGCAGGTACAGCACCATACCGTGCAGCAATCGCCACACCCGCCACCGCTGATACGGTACCGGGCCCGGATGGCTGCACGCGTACCCGTCTACCACGTTAATCAATTTCTAGGCCGCACAGCGGATGCACTTGACGATTGCTCCTCACCTGAAGGACCCATCCAAACCCGAACATTCCAAGGGCACTGTAGCAACAACAATCGCCCGTGCAAGAATCACCCCCGTCCGGGTGCGCGACGCCCTTCTTCTCGAGGTATTCTACTCGCGATTTGTTACGCGAGTAGACGATGCATGGGCACCAGCATGCCAAGCAGGCTGTACATAGCTTACGCGTAAGTCTGCGTGACAGACGCTCACATGGGATGCGTACCGGTGCCGAAGGAGTCGAAGCAGCCACAGATGCCATTGCTCCATTCACGTTCGCCGTCTGAGTTGAAAGGGAGGTTCTTGGAGTTGCGATTACCCCCGGCGGGTGCGAAGGACATCTCTTTGGTGTACTGATACAGGACGTCAGTTTCATGTTAGTGGGAGAGATGTGATTGATGCGGCGTACCATAGGCTGTTGGTTTTGGTAGGCCATTTTAACAGCTGGCGTCGGAATAGCGAGGGACTACGGAGGGGGTGTCAAGTATTATAGGATGCAAGAACAGCGGTTGTAGTGATCGTATATATTTGCAGAGAGATGTTAAGGCTGTCCGAAACAAGATCAAAGTGTTCAGACGTCAGTGATTCGCGGGTATGAAGGCAATGGTTTCCCTGCTATGTATACTCACTGAGATATTGAACGGGACCTCCGGTAGGCACTGCCTGAGAGGGAGCTTGGTTCAGTGAGGAGGGGTGCGTCCTCTCAGCCATGCGCGACCGCGTTTATACTGAATCTCGCCACATCAGAGTACGTACAACGGAGATCTTACGGGGCGGTACGGATGGATACACAGGGGCGCTCATCTTGTACAGAAATCCTTAGCGAACATCCGATGCCCCTAACGGGGTAAGGAACGTCCCAATGACAATTCAAAGTTGGCGGCCAGGCGTAAACGCGAACATTTGAGAGTATGTAACAGCCACCGACTCAGACTGTGGACTGTGGCGGTCCGAGTCGTAAATTGCCCGATGGGCTCCGCGGCTTTTCAGCCACCTCGGTGTACCTGTCTTATGGGCATGTTTAGTTGCCCTGCCATGATGATCGCTCAGCTGTACGTGTTCGCAAACTTAGGGGAGCTCATATTCCGCACTGTAACCCCAGAACTATAGTTCTTGCGTGTCTCATAATTGTCTGGTGGCGTAGCTGGTCGGGCTTGGCGGTGTGATGAACAGACCATCAGCGCCGAGTGCCAGCTCGTACGAAGCTACAGCATCAAGTTGTGAGTCCGTACATGAATACGTACATCCGACCTTCAAATCTAAGGCCCAGATGACTGACGCGATCATGATCCCCAGTATCTTTGAAGTCTCATGTCACCTAGTAGTATGGACGCATCGCGTTCGCCCTCAAGAACTCGGAGAGGTTCTAGCATTCCTATGTTGTGTGTCTCTATCTCGGCCGCGGATTCGGGTCTGTCTTCCACAAATTTAACCACTGGCGCATCAATCAGGCACACTCCATGTCATGTCCATAATTTTCACGGACGTCCAAGTATCGTCCTTTCAGGTAAGTCATGATTCCAGCTCTCAACTTCCCTCGTGATGAAGACTCCGCTAATCGAGTCTCCCGAGGTCCAAACATACGGGCTGCGTCCAGCTAAATGACAGGTTGTTCACATGCTCATCAAGGTCACAGGCGTACTGGGCACTCGGCGTCCAGGGGGATTCAGATTCCCGAGGTGTCTGAATTGCATGGCGTTCCAAGTTTCCGAACTTCCGCGACAGTAACCCGTATCTCATAGACTGCATACCCTGGTGATTGAAAGGAATAGCGGATCATAGTATCGCGGTGAAAGACACCAAGCCCAAGCACGGGCTGCCCGGCGTCCCAAGGCGTTCACCTGCCACTGCCGTAACCTTGACAGAATATAATGTCGTTGATTCACATGGTGTGGTGAGTCTGTCGTATACTTGTTAAGTCCAGCTAGAATACATTTGGCGCAGATACATCAGTCGAGGGGAGTACCGACAAGCCCAGTGGTCCTATATTTTGACCTCATCTGCCGCTGCCAGCGGCAGCAGCTCGTTAATTAGGGTCTCAGCGTGTCTGCTGCGGGGCATTATACTACAGGCAAACGGCAATGGGTGACTGTCAAGGTTCGATCATGGTTCTCAGTGACCACTCCACTGTAAGGACAGCATGCAAATCGCAATCGCACCTGACAAGGGCGTCGACGTATTTTTCCACGACGTCTATCTCGTTCCCGGCCTCGTCTTTCGCTTTGCTTACGTCGAACGCTGCCAGTACATGAGCAATCCCAACCCATACTGTGTCGAACCCCGTGTGACGCCCCGCGCATGATCTGAGTAGCATATCAGTGTGCAGCGGTCACCCGAACAGACCTCAAGAAGACGCATGCCTTCTGCCCAAACCAAAGGTCGCGTCAGGGAAACGGTCATTAAGGCTCCCGTCAGGGTTCAAGAACCTCTCGGGTTTGAATTTCTCTGGTTCGTCGCCGAACATGCTCTCTTCTTGCTGCATCGCCCTGAAACTTGATGAGCCATCACGTTGTCATGATACGTCACTGGAATACCATAAGTTTGTATTCACGATCGTTCCTGCGGAAGCGCCTGTCAGAACCTCAGTACGGACGGCACGAACATCACTGACCTTTGGGTATGAAATAGCCTTCGTATACGTCGTCCTCCATCACGACGTGGGGGATAGCTATAGCAATGATGAGTTTAGGATATGACACGAAGAAGAAGGTAACGCACATAATGGAGCTACCGGACGCCACCTGAAAACCTCCCTGATGAATGCCTCTAAATACGGTAGAGAATCCTTATCTTCGAATCCAGGCAGTCTGCTAGTGCCGATAACTTTGTCGATTTCTGCTTGCGCCTTCATCCTGGCCTCGGGGTATAAAGTCATAGCAAGGAAGGCAGTCGTCAGTGCCGAGACCGTCTCCATCGGGCGTCAGCGATTGAATATGATACCTTCAGCCTCTGAAGCTTACCGTATCAGCGCCAGCTGATAGTGAGAATGGTCAATTACTATCAGATAAACTGGCATATAGATATCTTCCTCTCACCGGCGTATGCCATGGCCGCAACGTCCGTGATAGTTTCTTCGTTCTCTTCCAATGTACCACCTCGAGCCGAAAAGCGGTCGATAAGGTTGGCAGCCACACAATCGGAGGGAACACCGGACGCCTAGAAAGCGATGACGAGACTACAATCATATGAGCCGATGGTGACCTACCATACGCTTCCTCACGAGCTCAAGAGGAGCGTGCCTCATCTCCAAGGTGAGCTTTCTACATTCTTCCGTATATCGCTTAACCCCCATTCCAGGCAACCATCCAGGAAGATGTCGCACTGGTCATGCAGGAATGCATCAGAAATAAGATCATGTCCAGGTTAAGAAAACGCCTCTTACAGAACGGTAGAGTGTTGACTATTGTGGCACCAGGAAAAGTGCAATGGCCTAACATATTGACAGCTGCCTCTGCGATATAGACAAAGCGGTCATCCTGAGATGCAACATCGTAATCGTACGCGATCGACATGATGACGGCAGCGGCATAACTTGCTCGGCGTGGCAGATCAGCCGCTTTCAAAAAGCTAAAGGTTCAACTTACTGTCTGAGGTAACTCACGAATTGCTCGGGATTACCCGCGAGATTACGGAGCAGTTGGCGAGCCCTTTGTGACATTATCGGGCGATAGTTTCTGTTTTTCTCCGCCCTGAACTGTTGGTGAAACTCTCGTCTATATCGTCGCCACTTCTCTCCGTAAGGCATGTTACTAAAAGCCCACAGCCAGTCCGACCTGGATGATGTGAGCGAAAGCGGGAGGGGCCCAATATTGCACCACTCACATGCTGAGTGTGGGTGTCACCGGTTTATCAGAGTACTTGTGTGCACGGCGCTCCAGTAAATCTGTAGCCACCCGGGAGGAATTAAGGACGATGAAATGTTTGCCGAGTACAGTGAAATGGATGAGATCGCCTATCCAACCACAGGATGAACAGACACAGCGTATATCAAGAGCAGAAGCTTCACCATATTCCTTCCCCCAGGAGGCATACGTCTTCCAGGATTCTTCTTTGGGAAGATCGAGAAGACTGCCGACGATGGGTTTCGGTTTAGGGCCTGGAGGGTACGGCAGAGAAGAGGGGTTCGACGCTCTCTTAGAGATATAACTCTTCAGTATATAGATGCCAATGCATATCGCCACGAAGTTCAGTGTCAGAGGTATAGACATTGCGAGGTAGAGGCACGAAAGTTGGGGACAAGACTGATAGCAGGACAATTATATACGGTCCATCACAGCCTATGACGCCTGGAGAAGTCCTAGTCCAGGTACGTCAATGCCGTTTCCTAGAATAGACAGCACGCACCTGGCGAGTGTTGTGGACGCACAACGGCATCACCGGATTCCCTGCGATTCGCTGCGAAGACGTCGTGACATAAATAATGACTGCAGAACTCATGAATGACGCAGTAACAAAGACAATCATACCTACTGCATCAAACTGGACGTGGATCCCGCAAAGCGTAACGCAAGGGTGATTTCTCGAAGCCATATTGTGTCCGTAAGGTCTCCAAACAGAGTTCCCCGCGGGCTGCTGACGCTGCTATGGTTCTGGATGGTGAATTATAGTGTTTGAACCTTAACGGCGCAGTCGGACGCTTGTTTTACCGCCTGAGGACGTATTGAAATGAGCAAGGTTTGAGCTTGACCGACAATGGAACACCAAGGTGTGGCGCCGATTAATAACATTGTCTGGGTAAGTACGCTGCTCCACCTTCGACATCACCCCTCATTTCTTACCCGCTGCACTGATGGCCAAGTTGCTTCGAGTCCGTATTGAGTGAGGTCACTGGAAGTGCGGCGGTCCAGAAGAACACCGGACGCGAATCAAGGGCCTACGGGAGCAGGGACGAGACAATCAACCAGGGGAATGATAGAAGAGAAGCATCGACTCACTTGTGGACGACGGCGCAAAGCCTCGCCATGACGATGGGGTTCTATCCATCCTGAGATATGAGTCTTGGCCGGAGCCCCTCGTTCAATGAAGTGGCCCTAAGTCTCCTCTGCTTCTAGATAATACCTTATTCTTCCTGCATGGGTTGGCTGCGTTAGCTTCGAAATCACAGCTGACGTCGTCTTGCCCGAGGGCACTCCATCTAACGCAGCAACCTGCTATCATCCCGATATATTAAGTAGAAGCCGGCGGGGACGGCCCCCACTGACCTATGTGTAAAGATACAGATCTATAGAACACGCCAATTAACGAACAGAGTCAAGAGTGCAATAGAATACCGGGTATCACAACTCAACGCTTCTCCCCACAGCCACGGCCAATGCCTGCTCCACATCTGCAACGAGATCCTCGGTCTCCTCAACCCCGACAGACAGCCGCACGAGGTTCGCGCCGATACCAAGCGCCGCGCGCTCAGCTTCGGGAATGCTCCCGTGCGTCATTTGCGCCGGGTGCTCGGCCAGACTCTCCACGCCGCCGAGGGACTCTGCCAACGTAAACAAGCGCGTGGCGGTCAAGAACTTGTCAGCTTCCTCTGCGCCGCCCTTGATCCTGAATGAGATCATCCCGCCGTACGGGAAGCCGCCCTCGTCCTCGGGGAGCGAGTCCACGAACTTGCGCGCATGCGGCGAAAGCGAGCGGTACGCGAGGGCATTCCGCGGGTGCGACGAGAGGCCCGGGTAGATGACATCCTCAACGTGCGGTGAGCGTGCGAGAGCCTTCGCGACGGCGAGTGCATTCACTCCGTGCGCCTTCATCCGCAGGTGAAGTGTCTTCGCCCCGCGCTGGGCCAGCCAGCAGTCATACGGGCTTGGGATGGCGCCAATTGCGTTTTGGAGGAATCGTAGCTTTGCGGCGAGAGGCGCGTGATGTTCCGGCAGGATAACGGCGCCCATGACGACGTCAGAATGGCCGTTGATGTACTTGGTTAGGCTGTGCAGCACGATGTCTGCACCGAGGAGCAGGGGAGATGAGTAGAAGGGGGAGAGAAAGGTATTATCTACGAGGACAAGGGGGTTGGAGGGATGTGAGCGGGCAAGTGAGACTATCCGGGGAATGTCTATTACGCGCAGTGTAGGGTTAGTGGGGGATTCTATCCAGATCAACTGTTCCATCATGTCAGCCTGATGAATTGACAGAAGGATATTTCCCATACCTTGGTGTTATCCTTCAAGGCCGCCGTTATGGTGGCATGATCGGCGCCCTCTAAATCAACGAACGTCGTCTCCACACCCTGGTTCTCCTCCGCCACTCTCTTCATATACCGAAAGGTTCCACCGTAAACATCGTTTACGCTGAGAATGTGCGCGCCCGGACCAAGGGATTGCAATACTGTTGCTGTCGTAGCAGATCCTGAGGAGAACGCGAGTGCGAAAGCGCCGCCGGTCTCAAGCGATGCGAGCGTCTCTTCTAAAGCATTTCTATTGGGGTTTCCAGAACGCGAGTACTCGTATCCCTGGGACGGTCGAATGAGGATTCACAGTACCGCCCAGGACACAATCGATACGAACCTTATGTTTTCCCACTCCATTCTGCTTGTACGTCGTGCTCAACGATATCGACGGAATGACGGCGCCCGTCTCAGGGCTCGCTTCTGAACCGACGTGAATCGCTCTCGTTCCAAACCCGTCTTTCTCGACTCCATGGACGCCGTTGACCCCGTTAGTCGCGGTCATCGTGTGAGCGTAAATTTGAGAGTGGGACCGACTGTCACGTTGCAAGCTGGCGTAGGGCTCAACCTGCAGCTGGCAGCCTGCCCAGTCAGCTTGGTCCTTTTATACATGCAGCAGACAGATGGCGGGAACATGACGAGGGATTGACGAGCGCGACGCTGACCAATCTCCCATAAATTGCGTTTTTATCGGGATTCGGGAGGTTGAAAAAATTGTGAACATGGCATTCGGTACGAGATACCTCTATTACCTGTATTCTCTGACGCGCGTAGCTACTGGTTATACTAGACCGACTTAAGACCGACAAAGTTGAAGGATATGATCCAGCCGCAGCCGGGCCAGTCCCTCTTCGTTCCTCGCCGTCCAGAGAGGTTGTCATGCAATAGAACACATCTAAGGACTTTCAATTGCTCGAAGTCAGCACCACCCTGGACTCTTTCATATCTCAGTTTGGAAGCTTGCACTAATTATCCTGATCTCACCACTGAATTTAGAGATATGACGGACTGTGAGTGGAACAACGAAAAGGTCCGGTTCCTTCTTGCTGATGAAAAGGGATATCAGTATCGCTATACGAGAATTAAACTCAAACACAGGTGCATGCGACAACTCGATCGAACGAGTCCTAGAGACCACTCCTCGAATCACAGTGTTAACGATAAGAAGTCTTTTGCGGGGCTACAGCCTTTCACGTGCAAGCAATAACCCCTCACGTCAATCAAACTCTGCAGGGACCGTGTTTTTACCTTCTGTTTATGCATCTATTACGCAGAGAAGCGAGTGTCTGTCGCGCGCGGAAGTCAGTAGCCTCATCGTGGATGGGTGGTCATCCGTCTCGTATCGTAGTCTCACCCTCATCAACGCTGAAGGGCCGACGGTTCACGGAAGTCGTCGAGGGTACTTAGATGGTTGAACCGTCTTGTCAGGTGCGTATTCCGTACCACTTCCACACCGCCCGTCTATCTGTCCAATGTATCACTGATTTTCAATTTGTTTCAATTTGATTTCTGTCTACCGCTCGAATGAGATACAAGGACTTGAGTCTGAGGACATTGGGGCCTCCCGCCGACATGAAAGGCGCCTCCACATCGGCAAACGTAGTATGTGTATCTCTTGACCACTATTCTGGGGTTCCGACGGCGTCGAGCTCGAAGATGTGACTTCCACGCTTTCACCTTTACTGCCTGGTAGTGACTTCGGAGAGGTGCTGCTTATACCCTGGGACGACGCTGGTATCCTATAACTCACGAATCTAATCTAATCGCTTGCGCGACCGCCGCTATAATGACCACATCCTTTGATCTTGCATTGTGAGCCGCAGTACTGTAGTCAGCAACAAATGTCAGCTTACCGACCCAGCCGCCGGAGGGTCTCAAGATCAGGTGCGCGCCGATCGGGCACGTTCAGTCACCGCACACACCGTGGGTGTGGGACAATGAGAGCCTACGGTATCCGCCTACCGTGAAGACGCTGCGTCCCGTAAACTGTCAACGGCAGCTGCTTCTCGTCGAATTATGACGGTTGCCTGACGGTTCCGGCGCGCCGGCCTGTTTCCGGCTTGCTCCGGCTTGCTCGGCCCCCCCCTGCTAGCTGCGGTGACTGGGGCCCAATGCAACTGGTAAGTTCTCGATTGCGACACGTGTTTGCCTCGAGTGTGTCCGTGATATGCCCGCCCAGATTCTGCGATCCTGCGCTTTCGGAAGGAACTAAATGAGCTAAGATGTAAACCATTGTTTCTATGGGATAGTAGCTCTCCAGTATTGACTGGTTGTGTGCGCTGGCTTTATGCTCCGCTTTCTCTTCTCGTCGAATTATGACTGTTGTAGCAAGCCCTGAAAGCGTGTATGAGCTTTTTTAGCCTACCACTGACTGGGGACAGGTTTGTCTGCGAGCCGCATGCATGGTA